TATCATACTATCAATGCGAACCAAATCGACATATAAGCATGCACGAGGGAATGTGTGCGTGTACACGCGCACTCACACAGGCGAGTTGGCGCGTCCACGTATACATGATCATCGAAATTGCGCCGCTGTGCAGGAGTTGCAAGGGAGACCGGCACGGGGCACATCGAAGCGAACGAAGCGACGAAGACGAAGTTTCCGTAGCCGCTGATCGTATAATAGACCTTTCGAGTTGTTGCTCTGCCTCGTTGTTCTCCTAGAGAGGATCGCGACGGCCGCCATTGCTCCCCAACACGTACCGTAATTTATTATGTAGGTGTGCGGTGAGAAATGATAGCAAGACACGAGGCGTAATATGATTTTCGGCTTTAACGATGAGGCAAGATATGGCCATATATATATATATGCGTACTCGGATGACTTACGTGCAAGCCTCGAATTGTGATAACGTGGTGGTGTTCCTGGCGTTTCTTGGCATCGAAGAAGCCCTGAGAAAATTTTCTCTCGACGACAATTTGCCTCTTCCTTAACTCTTTTTGTTCCTCACTCCCGATGTAACGTCGCACTTGGAACTGAGCGTAGTCGTTGTTACAAGCAATAGTTTCTCTCCTCTATGTTCGTTTTTTTTTTTCTCTCTACACTGCGTCTCGGTTGGATTACGTGGGCACCGAGGCAATTTTCCCCCTCGAAAAAATCTATTATTTCCTTGAGGATATTGCTTGCTCTCTTTTTCTCCGTCAATTCGTATTAGATATCTGGTGCCGATCGAATGTGAATTATCCCGGGAGTTTTTCTCTCTCTCGCGAAGACGATGTCGTGGCGCGTAGAAGAAAATGTCTTTAATGGCGCGACGCGCGAACGCCCATACGTTTAGGGCTATCTGATTACGAGCGTCGATGCATCATTTATCATAACGATCCCTTTGGATTATTTTTCTGGCTTTAAAATATCTCTCGGCTCGTGTGTGCATTTAGAGTGAAGGCCAGCTTCATAGGGTTACGGTAGCCATTAAGTTAACAGTGAATATGTATATTGAAGAGTGAGATAGAGAGCGCGAGAAGCGCGCGCGTATCTATAGTCATTCGTTGCGCTCGTTGCCGTGACGTAACGCGGAATGACGATGCCTGCTTGCCAACACAAGTAAAACCGCAGGAAGCCGAGGAAAGTGCGGTGTCGTCCGGGCGACGCTGCTGACACCTATTCGACCGACTCCCGGTGGGGATGGGACTTCGCCAATCAGCGGTCATTCCTGGCTCCGGGACTGGGTGCGTTCGATTGCTAAACGAATTGCGACCGTCATTAACCGTAATTCGCTATGACTCTGCATCACGGACATCAGAATTCCCGTGCTCGCTTAACAGCTCGTTTCTTCTGCAATGTGCTCTCGTAATTTCTCTCACGGCTTTATGTTTCTCTCGAGATACCCACGGATTTGGCAATTATGCTGTTTGGAGTGAAAATTATAGATAGCGCGTGCAGCAAGTAAGACGAAATGCTGGTCTGCGCGTTTGAAATTTTGTTGAATCAAAGCCGAAATAAATTTTTGGACGGCGGACATGGAGTTTGCCTAATTATTTTATTGGTTTGTCATATTGTCAGAAATGTTGTCATTGACGTTTTCTTTCTTTCTTTTTCTTTCTTTTCAGCCGCGCAGTACAACCGGCTTTTAATAGAAAATTCAATTTCTTAACATTAGTATTTACTTCCTCATTTTCGCTTTATATTTAATTGATGATTAAACTTGATAATAAGTAGGAATAAATTTAAAATAAATCTTCTACTTAGAATTAAAGGAATTATTAGATAATTATGTGTTTGACACGCCGAATGTAGCTCGCATCGTTGTATATTAGAAACTATTCTTTATATATATATATATATATATATATATATTAAATATTAATTTAAATAATGCAAAAGAGCTTATTATGCATTTTAATAGAGTACTGAAGATATCTTAACATTTTAACTTAAAAACAGGAAACTTCAAATAATATGGAAACATTTTAGATTTGAAAAGTAATACATATAAGTTGCCCTATATGTATTCTACGACTATTATTGCGAGAATACCTATCTATGTCAAAAAAAAAAAAAAACTTTTTATTTCTTGTAAAGTTTAGTTAATAATGCTATTAGACGATGAATTAAATTCATAAGTTTATTTAAAAGGATATATCGTACGATTTCTTTTGAAATTTGTTATGATTTAAGCCTCATCTATTTTTGTTTAAAACAATATTATATACATTTCAGGTAATGTATTAATAAATAAAAAGTTGCGATTTCGATAAGATTTTTTTGAGATTTTATTCCAATAAAAATGTTGGGATAATCAGTTCGCTTGATTTCATTTGTTTAAATTTTTATTTGATATCGTAGGCTATACTTATGATATACGTTATAAATCATTAGCAAAGTATAAAAAATTTTATAACAATCATTAATATATATTTCATTGATTTTTGAAGTTCAAAACCGCAAAAAAAAGAGAAAAAAATATTCGTAATGAGCTTCTTTATTAAATATTACAATAATATTTCAGTTATATATTTAAATTTCTTTTCAGTTAGTTATTTCAATGTAATTGTCTATTGCAATAAAATAATTCTGTCAAATGCCTTTATTACCTACTATCATTAATATTCTTTATCTATAAATATTCTTTTACAATACACTTCTGAATTCCCTTAAGGAAATGATAAAGGAAATTTACGTCTAATTACGTAAATTTTTGCCGAGCTTCCTTACGAATAATACTAAAGTAATTACGCGTATCGTTAAAAAAAATTTACTTAATAATGAAAATTATTAATAATCATGTCGGAACTAATAGATGAAGAAATGCGGCAGAAAAATCAAGGATGAATAATAAATAAAATTGGCGCCGTTAGTAGGGACATCTGTGTTCAATTACATGAAAAACAAAACAACCCAATAGGAAGAGCAGTGATCGTTGTTCGACTACAAACTGTCGCGAGTAGCGATCACGTAAATCGAATCCTTCGTCAGAGACTTGATGGTGGAAACTACAAGTTTTCTCGAAATACAAGCTCAAGTAACTATCTCTCTTCATAAAAGTAATAGTAAACAACATGGGTTAATATTGTCATATACATTAAAATGATATGAATACATTTGCACCGTTAATATTTATGTATATTTTACATTATGTTTTTTAATTTTCCTTATTCTAATATTTTGTACATATTTTCATTCTATACTAAGCTCTGAACATACGATATTAAACAAACAATCGATTGTAGCACTACGCTATTTTTTGCGCGTTAAAAATTACTAATTTTCAGAGTTTTTTTTTTAGTAACAATGGAGACAGAAGAGCCTATGGATATTGATACAGCAGGAGATTTTGACAAATTTGATGATTTACTGGAAGAGGGAGAATATAGAGAGTCTAATCACATTAATAGAAAAGTACTACCCAGTGTGGTTTTGGTATGTTGTTAGAAGAATTGTTTATATCTTATTCAAACTTATTTTACATTTTTTTTTTATCTAATATTGTAGGTGCCAGAGATTAGGTATGAAAATAAAGCTGGTGCATTTGTAACTGGTATTGACACATTCAGTAATGAAGTAAAAATAAAAATGGAAGATCGGGCAAAAAGATTTGGCTTAGTGAAAGAAACTGAAAAAGTTATTCCGAAAGAGTCAGAAAATTTATACGGAAGGTATATTTATAAATTTCAAACTAATAATATAGTTATTAATATTACAAATACCAAATCTTCATGCTGTTTGTTTATAGTTTTGGTATCAATGAAGAAAATATACAAAACTTTAGATTGAATGTTATACATATGAGGGGTACTGAAGATATGAACACAAAAGATATTTTCAAATACTTCGAAGATTATGTACCAGCCTCCATCGAATGGATAAACGATATATCATGTATGATCATAAAAATTTAAATATTATTTAATAGTATACAAATGGAAATATAATTATTATTTTATACTCTACTCACAATAATAACAATACTTAATTTAAATATTAAAATTATGTAGGTAATGTCGTATGGCTTGATAAACCATCAGCTGCTAGAGCGATATTGGGTCTATCCAAACAAATAATAGGTGTCAAAAAAGAATCCAATTATAGGATACATTCGGATGATTCTAATGAAGATTCCACAGATGATAAATTTATAAATGGTAAACGTTATAAAGATGAAAATGCTGTTCATGTAAAAGATATAAGATGTCCTCTACCACCAGGTATATGGAGAAAAGGAACTAATTATATAGATTCTAGAAATATCTTTTTAAGGTTTGCTACAAGATTTGATAAAAAACAAATTCATGATGAGCAGATGAATGAAATTTACAACAAAGATAGAAATCTACATCATGGAGGTAATTTTGTAGTATTCGTATTTTATTAGAAGAAAAGAACCATTTACAGTAACGTTTTCTTTTTCATTACAAGATTAATAATTTTTTTAATATGAAGAAATAAGTAATTTCTAAACTATTATTTTATAAATGTTCACATTCTATAGTGTAGTGAATTTTTATAGAGTACATTTAAAAATTAAAACAATATTAGGTATTTAATATATATATATATATTTGCATCGTATTCAACAGTAACTTTAATTGAAGATGAAGATTTTTTTTTATAACTATAAAAAAAAAAAAAAAAAATGATAATTCTAGTTTATGGAGTTATCTGAATATTTGAATAATATGCTTTGAAGAGCTTTAAATCAAATGCTTCATTCCCTGTTTTACAGCACTAGCAATATAAAAAAATAATCAAAAGTTGTTAAACTAAACTTAAAATTTATTTATATGTAAATTTTGAATAAATCTGTCAAAAAATTACATTATAATATTAATAATGCATACACGAACTAAAATAAAATAAAGTATTATTATTTATAAAAAAAAGCTTTATATAACAGAAATTTGAATTTGAATAAATTATTATCCAATATCAATACTATTATATAAACAATATTATAGGTTTAAGAGGAATATTAGCTTCATCTAGAAAACGCGTTTATAAACAATTAAAAGAATCTTCACCTAAATTGAAAGAAGAATCAAGTACAAATGGAATAGCTGCTAAAAATCCATGGGGTTCTCTCTCTAAGAATTGGGGAGTTACTGATTTTGTCGAGGATGACTATTTACCTAAAACAACTACTGAAGCAGTTTCTAATGTAAAGGAAAGATTAGGTTTTAAAACCCATGAAAAAGAATTTCCAGAAGAGAATTCAAATATTATTGAACTTTCCGATGAAAGCCAATCTGAAACATCAAGTGAAGAAGAAAATTGGTGTAAAAGAAGTAAAATGCCAAGAATGCGAATGCATGCAGATGACGAAGAAGAAAAAATTCAGAAACGAAAAGGGAAAATTAGAAATATGGTTTGTAAATTAAATATTTAATTATTCAAGTTAGTTTCGCCTCTGATTTCAAATAAATAATCATAAATTTATACAAAATTTTTAAAAGATAAATCATAGTGGAAAAATAATGGATAATGATTTACGAGGAAAATTAACTGCAAAAAGAAGATTACCACCTGTATACCACGAAGCAATTCAAGTTGTAGTTACAAACCCTAAAGCAGTTCAAAGTAACTTTACTAATGTTAATTTAACCGAGGTAGATTTAAACGAATACATTACCCGCTTACAATTTAAATAAAAAGTTATTAATTTTTTTAATTAATGCAGGATGAAGATGAAGATGTTCATGAAGTGGTTGTACAGCAAGAGAATGATGGTAATGAGGAAGAAGAGGGTGAAATTATTGATGATTCTGGAAGTGATAGTAAAGAAGAATATGAAGAAGAGGAAGAAGAGGAAATAGAGGAAATAGAAGTTGGAGATGATTCAGCATCTGAATCCGTTCATGTTAGTAGTGATAGTAGTGTTTCTGAAAAAGAAGTTCAAGGTCCAAAAGGAAGTGTTATTAAAGTTGTTCAACATAGACCCAAGTTAGCATCAACTGTATCTACTGTATGGTCACGATTAAATCATTCCAAAATCGATAGAAATGATAACTCACAAGAAAGGTATGATCTTTATATATGTATAGTTTAATATTCAATATTTTGTTTGAAGTATATTAGACACAGTAATTTTTTTTTTTTTTTTTTTTTCATTTTTAATACCAACAAAATTCTTAATCACTGCAAAATAATGAAATTACTGTATTTAGTATATATTATAATGCTTAATAATATGGTCATTTTTTGTTTTTGTAGATATTACTCAAAAACAGATTTGAGGTTCACCTTGAAGAAAAATGACTTACGATCACGTATTGGCAATCACCATATGACAGGTCGGTCACCTCTTAGAATAGAATTGAGGAATGATAAGTATGCTGGTAGACTGAATGATTCTGAATAATTATGAATAAGAAAATATTTGATAAAGATTTTCTAAATTTATGATAATCATCATGTTACCTGATCAAATAATTAATACAATTTATTAAAGGCTTTTGTAGTCTTTTAACTTATTTACACTTAATTTAAAATTATTTTTAATCAAGAATCTTCCTAAAACTGGTAACAGTGAAATTTTTGTTAAAATAATTTTTTTAATACTTTATTACGTCATAATGAGCGCCAGATACAATAACAATGAAAAACTATAATATTACATGTTTTGTCACACATATACACAAGTCAATTAGATACATAAAACTGTTTTAGATAAATTTTCATAATTTTAATTATAACTATTTTTTATAAATTAAATGAGAGCAAAATAAAACGTGCATACATATATCATTCATTATCTTTTCCTATTCGCATTTCATAATTTAATTTGAATATGTTTGAAGTGTATTGTTTGATATTAATGTTATTTTACTGATACATAGTAAAGAAATAAAATTATTAAAATGTTAATTATTAGGTACTACAAAACATGTAGTAAAAGCATTGTGTATGTACATATATACATATATATTTATGTAAAAAATAAATAGGTACATATTGCATATTGTAAACATCAATGATGATATCGATTTATGTTTGTATCTTTCTTTCTCTACCTGTATCTTTGCAACAATTCGTAAGTAAATTTACTAATAAAGATTTTTATAATGATATTTTAGAAGAATGTTATTTAAATTGTTTCATTTTTTAATAATAGACTTGTAAAAGCAAAACATTATTTTTAACAAAGATTTATGAAGAAATTTTTTAGCAATTAAATTTAATACAATAAAATTTTTTCATTTTAATAATTTGGGAGCATATTTACAATAGTCTTTTTTTAAATTAAAAATTTTTATTTGAAATTTAACTTTTTATAAAAATCAAATAATGTTGCTTTAAAATAAAATTATTGTTTCAAGCTATTGTTTACGTTACACTATGTTATATATATATAAATATATATATATTTGAATCAGTTGCTTTACATTATATCTGAAAATTCATAAGTAAGACATCTACTGTCTATTAGAATTTGTCACTATAAGCACTAATATAATGTTAATTATCATAATGGTCCTGCTAAAGTGTAATTGATAAATTTTAAAAACTCGATTTTACAGTATAAGATCTCAACAATGATTTTTAATTTTGACTTAATAATAAGCCTATGTTGATAATAATATTTCTTGAAACTATTTAACAGTCTTATATTTGCATAATGTAAGCTAATTAATAATGTAAACTTCGATTGAATCTGAAGTTAAGCGATTTTAAGATTTTTCAAATATTATTACATCGAAAAAAATTTTCAAGGCAAAAAATATTGATTTAGTCTTGATAAAATTCGTATACTTTTCTGTTGCGTTTGAATGAAGAAATATAAATTATTTTGTTTATTTATTATTAATATAACAGATAACATAATAATAACAAATGATTATACTCCTGTATTAAATGTTTACATATTTTCTATTTTTGACATACATTTTTGTAAGTTTGAAACTAAATTGTTGTTGCAATGTTCAAACAATGAGAAAATCAGTTAAATTCATAATTTTATAACATAGTAAAGTATGTATCAAAATATAATCATTGTATATAAATTGCATTAAATTTAAATAAAATCAAATCAAATTATTAAAATCCAATTATTGTATATAAATTGCAATTAAATTCATGATTAAAATTTTATACAAATGTATTTTCTAATTTCACTGATGAGGTCTCTGGCATTTGTCTACTACTCGCTCGCTTTTTTTCTCTTAAAAGTATTGTTTACATATTTATGGAACAATTAAATGAAACGCAACAAAATATCAGTCTTGTCTGTCAATATACAATGTATCTCTTGATTATTTTTCTACTTTTAAAATGATGTGTATTTTATTTAATATTTCGTTCAAATTTTGTTGAGGCCGTATACCTAAATACGTTTATTAATATCTAATATAATGAAATGCGAATATTTTTTCAAATCTGCAGTATATAACATTGACAATCAATAGACGAAATATTAGAAATATTTAATATTCATGTTTTAAGAATTAGTAACAATCGATACACATATGTAACATTAAGTATATTAGGCCTTATTACTTTATTATACTAATGTGCCTGGCTAACTATAATTCGAGTAATTGTTACCACATTGAATTACAATATAATTAAATCTTTATTTTTGTTAATGTGGGAAAAAAATTATTAATTTTATCATAATTTGAGCTTCAGCTCTTACGCAAAATGAAATTACAATTAAATTACAATGTTTTAAAAAATTTAATTTCAACTTTTCAAAACACTTTGGAGAATGATAAAATAGACCAAATAACATAAAGAATCTTAATAGTTATTAATACTTTTACAAATAATAAAATTCTATTTAAATAAATTGGAGCAATAAGTTTAGGGCGTTTAACGACCTAAATAATAGACTTACTGTAAACGTATTCTAATAACTTTCCAAATATAAATAGTACATTTAGATAATAACTCGAATACGACATGAAAGCTTTTTAAAGTGACATAGATAATACTTTAAAGACAATAATTATAAATTTTATTTTATACGATGATTATGAATTTCTCATCAAGGTGGCATATTTTCATCAGTTTTATTGTTTTATAATATATTATATCACGTACAAATATTAAGATACATTTTATTGTAATAAAAATATCATGGCTTAAAAAAAAACAAACAAAAAAAAAAAACAATATATTTTAGAACATAACCATTTTATTTAAAAATGATGTATTTTTTCTTGTATTTTAATGTACTTTAGGTTAAAAAATTTTCAATGAAAAAGAGCGAACGTATTTGTAAAGGGATGCATGCTAGTTCATAGCAATAAATTCTAAATATTTAAATTTATTATCTGCTTCATTTATGCGTATTTTTAAAATCGAACAATTATTACTACAATACTCGGAGAATAATATTATTATAGATTATGTCATACAGTGAAATATATATATATATATAAAGACAAAAGAAACTAATTTAACGCACAATAATATTGTGTATTTTATATCAATATCGCGTTTATATCGTACTTTAATATTTGATGAAGTTTTATCTTTTATGGTTATCTTATTGCATGAGGATTTATTCAATATTCTTATGCTTAGTGCATTTGAGTATACATTTTGTCTTAAGGGTAATATGAGAACTGTTTATACTATTAAATCATTATTTTTGTTGATAAATATTTCGTCTTTTAATTTCAGAAAAATATGTTTCTTCATAGTAATTGTAAAAAATATTAAAATATATTGATTCATTAGAGTAGATATACTGGTACCCGATATTCGATGTTTTATCTACTTTTATCACGTAGTACTAATCATTTTGAAATTTCACATACGTCGGAGAAAAACTGTATTCTATTGATTCGAATTCGGTCGATAAATTTGAAAAATTTATGAAATATAAGAAGGTATTACATTATCAATTGGCAAGTTGTAATGTATTTCTACAAATTTAAATTATTACGTGATGAATTTTATTGATGCAATATAGCCACCATTGATAATTATAACACTGTATTTTAACAAAACACAGAAATGTAGTCATATACTTATCGCATTATTTAAATTTTTCATTCGCATATTATATGAACGATTTTGAATTTATAATTTTAATTTACTTAAATAAAGAAACAAAAAAATCATATGATCGTATAATTTGGCATTAAAAATGTTCCATAATATAAATATTTATTTTATTTTATCATTTAAATTTAACTTTGTTCTTTATTTTGTTTTAATAATAATATTGACTTGAAAATGAAAAATATTCTTATAAATAATTACAATCATATAATAGTTTTCTCAAATTTGTAATAAAGAGTATTTCACATTTCCTGTGCCTACAGAAATGTTTTTATATAAATTATTTTATTATTAGCTTGAATAACAGTACAATTTTGTTTAAAATAAGCTCTTATTTATTTAAAGCTTTCAAGCTCACTTTAACTTCATTATTTAAATAAATAAGATTAAATGGAACATTTTAAGTGATCGTATAGCATTACTTTTCATGGAATTGTTTTTGTTTTATTTAAATAATGTATTTATACTGAAATAATATATTCATTATAAATATCCTAATTGAGTACGATTTAAATTATTTATACTTAATACCATGTGAACATATATATACATAATTTCAGAACAGATACTTAGAGTACAAAATTAATCTTTACTATTAACATAAAACTAATAGTATTTTATGCTTCGAACATACACAGCAATGGCAGTATCAGTGTAGTAATACAAAAATCATTAGCATAAAATTTAGTTTAGACCTTTACATAAGTTTCGTGAATAATAAAAGATACTGTATTGATAAAAAAATTAAATACTTTTATTGCGTTTCTACTTCAACCAAATAACAAAATAAAAATTTAAATTAAATAAAAAATTTTTATATTATAAATACAATATAAAAATATTTTTACTATTAGATTTAAAATAGAATAGCTCTGATCTGAATATAAACCTGAAACAAAAACTAATTAACGAGTTTGGCATATACAATTGATAAAAATATATATTATATATATATATATATATATATATATATATATAGTTTATAATTAACTGTTATACTATGAATTATAATTATATCAATTTTTTTTATAAATTTTTTTACAAATAATTTAGAGTAAAATTAATTAATTTTTTCATTATAATATTTTAATGTTACAAAAATTAGATTTAGAATTTTTAAAATAAAAATATTGTCTTTATGTTTAAGTGCAATATTTACACCTCTATAATTAGATGTTTTTATTAGTAAATAATTTTTAATAATTTCTCTATTTAATAATCATACAAACTTATTAATTAAGACATCACATTATCTTAAAATACTAAATTAAGATTAAATTGATATATTCTATTAATATAATCATATACAAAAAGACAAAATATTTTTGTTGTAAATTACAGTGAGAGCTTTTTTTGTTGATTTTTGTAATGTCAAAGTATAAAATAATTATTAAATTAACTTTACTATACAAGATCAGAAATATCTGGTTAAACAAAAATGTTACTTTACTTCTAATAAAAACGTAGTACTATTTTCGGTTTAACTTACAACTTTATGCATATGATTTCTACACTAATTATGTCATTGCTCAGTACTTAAATCACAGAAAGTGTATGACGGCATTTCAATGTATTTCTTGTATTTAAGGTAAGTATGTGTAATTGGATTAAATAAAATTGTTTGCGTATAAACTAAAATATATACTTGCTAAAACAATAAAATCACTGTATTTTGGTAGACTCGAACGTTTATAATCACAGAAAAGTAATCGTATTAATTACACTTCTGAAGCTTGTACTAGATATTTCGTTATCTTCCATAATTCTCTCATATTCATTTCTTTATACCACAGTAGTGCTATTTAACAAGTTTACCATTATCTAATGCATTTGCCCATTTTGTATCTCTTTCAGTCGTCCTAAAATGTTAATGTTTTTAAGAAATGAAAGAATCATTTGTAGAATTATATAACTGCATAATATAATTTTATATTATTGTTTTTTTGCTATTTACCATTATATAGCATTCTCTTGGCGATTCTTTTGAAAAAGTAAAGTTTCCTCAAAAATGTACTGCTTTAATGTTTCCTTTGGAAGATCATCTAGTTCCATATCAAATTTAAATGGTTCTTCTGCAACGGGCTGTATTAAAACAATTTGATTACTATTACATGCATATATACTCATAAATATAGTAAAAATATTAATTTAAAATATTAATATACTTCGTCTGCTGGGTCATAATACTGTTCCAAATATGGATGAGCCAATGCATCCTCAACTACAATACGTTTATTAGGATTGAAAGTTAGTAATTTATCTAATAAATCAAGTGCTTTAAGATCTGCATTCGGGAATAATGTTATCCATGGAACCTTTGGTTTATGTGGTAAAGATTGCAAATAACTGCGTGCCTGTAATTATGAAATAAATTTATCATTTGTAAGATAATTTTGTAAGATAAAATTGAAGAAATATAAGAATATATGCTAAAATTATGTAATACCTTTTTATTGTAAATGCATTCAAGATCCTCTGGCGAAGGTGATCCAAGAGTACCAAGAATATGATTAAGTTGATCTAGATAATGTTTGCCAGGGAAAATGGCTCGTCGAGACAACATCTCTGCAAGAATACAACCCACTGACCAAATATCTATAGATTTTGTATAACCCTATAAATAATTATGCAATTAATTTTACTAATGAATTATAGTTTCAGAGAATTTTTTAAAGCGCACGACGTACCTTAGAGTTTAACATAATTTCAGGTGCTCTGTACCATCTTGTTGCTACATATTCTGTAAGAGAACCATCATGATTATGAGCTGGATCAGCAACTCTTGCCAGACCAAAATCACAAATTTTAAGGTCACATGTGGTATTCAAAAGTAGATTACTAGGTTTCAGATCTCTATGTAACACATTTGCTGAATGTATATATTTCAGTCCTCGAAGAATTTGATAAAGAAAGTAACATATGTGATCGTTACTAATAGCCTATTATATTGAAAAATATATGACTAAATAAACATTGTTTTTAAGTTAGGAAATAAATTCAGATGTGATGTTTATTTTATTTACCTGAGTTTTTAGTAATTTATAAAGATCAGTTTCCATCAAACATTGAACAATATATACATCTTTCATTTGACTTATAGTTGTTGCTCTTAATATATCCCTTATATCTATTATCTATAGCAATTAATAATAAGTATTTAAAGCTAAAATTAATTATATTATTTAAAATTAATTTAAAAAGTATAAATTACATTTTCATGCTTAAACCTAGTAAGAATTTTTATTTCTCTCAATGTCCTTTGGCTATATGTTTGATGTTGGAATGGGGAAATTTTCTTAATCGCTACTTTTGTATCCGTTACGTTGTCATATGCAGAGCTGTAAACAATAAATTTCTCAATAAAAACATCATAACAATATACTATTAATATATATTTAAAATATATTAATCAATAGAATAAAACAAAAATATGTTTCATAAAATGATACCAAAGTACACATTTCCATTTGCTTTCATACAATATTCCCAACATTATATTTCTTGAATTTTATACATTAATCAAATGATAAAATTTTCAACTAAATCGAGAACTACGGATAAATTTCTTTAATAAATTATATTTTAAGGCAATTCAATATAAAAAGTAATATTATCAGAATTTCAATAATTATAATATTAACAAGTCATAAATTAATGAAGCTTATACTCTGTTAGCTTATAGTTTATGTAGAAAAGAAGGGCGTGACAATTCATAAAAGCTAGTTCTGAATTAAAGTAAATATTTTTTCTATCACCTTTCTAAAAAGTCATGTCACCCCTATAATTAAAATCGATCAATTTTATATTCATCCTTTAAAGTGCGACATCGTGTACATAGAAAGAGCATTTTACCAAGCTCCTTTGATGCGATGTGACTAACATTTAATTTTTTTATTTATTTATTTTCTATCATTTTCTACAACGCCATTCAAGAATTTGATATAAAAATCGTCATTCGTGTAGGCATACAAAAAAATGAATGGCATGAGACAACGGAGTAGAGAAGAAATAACATACTCACACAACCATACCATAGGCACCTTCTCCCATGTATGCCAGATTTGTGTAGCGCGGCCCAACTTCAAATATCTGGCCACGGACAATTTCCGCTTTCGGGATCGAGTTTGATGCACTAGCTTCGCCCGCCATTTTTACGAGGACAAGGACAAGGACAAGGACAAGGACAAGGACAAGGACGAAGACGAGTACGAGGATAAAGTCGGCAATAACGATAAGAGTGACAGTGACAACGGCGGCAGCAACGGACAAGGACAAGGACAAGGACAAGGACGAAGACGAGTACGAGGATAAAGTCGGCAATAACGATAAGAGTGACAGTGACAACGACGACGACGACGACGCCGACGACGACGACGACGACGACGACGAAGTTGACGAGAGCAAAGATCACAACGCAACGATGTCAACCACAGACGGCGACCACCTCAAGACCGGGTTTCTACACTACACGTATACTAAAACTTATATTATACGCGTATATATATTTCTGTGTGTGTGCGTGTGTGTGTGTACTATTGTACGTCGTATTTGCAAATTTATACGCGCGCGCGTGAGTGCTTGCGTATTCAAGCGTGTACATGTGTATACTCAGAATGAAAAATGTGTATGCGTACCTATTGTATCTATACTTAAAGTCTAAGAATTGCAGAGCGCGCGAAAATAAAGATAACCGAGAAAAAATAATAATAGTATAAAAGCACTTGCTCTGATAAAATATCGTATGACGACGAGGAGGACGAGAGTAGGCGCGCTACTCGCGGTTGTTCTTCGCGTCTTTCTTTTCTTGCGCGGACTATTCGCTATCAGCTTATCTCCGCAATAGGTGTACGTTGGTGGCTCAGTGTACCTACACATAGAACTAATCAAATATGCGTTAATTTCTAATCTCTAGATCTTCATATTGGTTTCATGGCTATGGTTCCGTTTCTAACCATAGAGCGGCGCTGATCACTTCATTACGTATACCAAATTACGCACACCAAGGCGTTTCTACGGTTTGCGTATCGAGGACACCGTATACTCTCTCTCTCTCTCTCTCTCTCTCTCTCTCTCTCTCTCTCTCTCTCTCTCTCTCTCTCTCTCTCTATCTCTCTCTCTCTCTCTCTCTCCCTCTTTCTTCCACTATCCCGCTCTCCCTCTCTTTCCATCACGATATATATATATATATATATAAACTATCTAAATATAAATATATCATTGTAGCTATTTAGCGGCAGATAAATAATCCAAATGCAAAAAGTGTTAAAATTATTTAATATTATATAATGTGTTTAATACAATTGTAAGGAAATAAGGAATAATAAACAAATAAATTGAAAGAGAGTAGAGAAATTAATAGATTGATTTCAATATATTTGAATTTATAACTCCCTTTTTCCTGCACAATCGTACATAGCAGATGTTAATTTATCGTTTTAAATAATTTTAATACTAATAACTACATTAACATTATTTCTTCGCTGCAATATGCTTAAAGTAATATATTTATAATTAGATCATTTATTGAAATCACTATTTATTCTGAATATTCCTTAAAAAATTTATTTAAAAACCTTTTCATAATTTCAATATTTTATTTCTCAATTCAATCGTTCATGTTCATCTGCGTGTATTAAATACAAATATGAATATGCCGTAGTTGCCTTTTTAGTTTCAAGTGTTCACCTTTAAAAAGTATGTATTTTAGAAAATTAACCTATAGTTTAAACTTTTATAGTATTGTATACAAATTTTCGGCAATAATTATATATTATCATTTATTTTTATTAGACATTATTACATTTACGCATTACATAAATTAGAATAGAATAATGTACTCAAAAAAATAAGATTCCAACTTTTAAAATTCTTACGTAAATCATTAGTTTAAATTATTCTATTTATTAAAATTATTAAAATTAAATTCCTCTTTTATTATTTATGACAAAATTTTAATAACAATTAACGATTATTTTAACAATTAACGTATATAAAAATAAAATAATATAATTATGTATAAAAATGTATTTGTTAACATAAATAAAAATATTTTTTATGTTTCTCAATTGTGTATAAACTATTATTCAATTATAATATTTTTTAAATCTTAATATTAAATTAATATTTAAACTTATTAATAAGTATTTTATTGTTATACTTTTAAAAAATTTATTTTTAATATCAATTATAATTATAGTAGCCTATTAGTATATTTTATTTTCATTTCTAGAGTATTAAAACCATGTGGCGACCAATAATCAAACGGTAAATAATTACTTTTCCTTTACTTTTCAATTTTTATACTTGGTTTGTGATTACAACTTTAATGGTTTAGTTAATAATATAGTAGGTAATTTTTATCCGAATGACTTCGAGCCATCAAAAATTCAATTTATAATAAGCTTATAAAAATCATTATATAGAAATTGTGCGTAGTAGTATTATATGTATACGTAGAAAAATTGTAGAAAAATGTTGCACAGTCCTCTTATTATTTACTGATCATAGCTTAAAATAAGTCTTAAAACAATTATATGTACAATAAAATATACATTTTATTTTTAAAATATTTATATACCTTTACGATTTTAAAAATTAAAAATATATGTTAATGTTTTTTAATGTTAATTATTTTAAAATATTTTAATTACATACGAAAATTTACTTATTATGTTTCTTATGCTACGTATAAAAATATTATAGTAGTCTGAAATAATTAAACTTATTACACAATTATATGCACAAATATAAACTTATAACAAATATATGAAGAAATTTTTTTTTTTTATAATAAAAATACTATTAATTGACTATTATAATTTCAAATAAAATGTATTTATATTAATTGTACGATTTATAATTATATATCATGACGTATGTGATTATGCACAATGACGCATGTTACTATGTATAATGTAGTTTATACTTATGTATTATCATGTATTATCAATTGTATGTTTAAAAATGAAATTTTATTCATGATATTATTTATTACAAAATACAGTTTTTTAATTTAATGAAATTCATTTGAAGTTTAAACTTGAAACAATAGCTTAAACTTTCCTGTAATTCGTTTTCGGATTTCAATTCCTTTTGCAAAACAAAAATAAAATGATACGTTTTACAAAATAGCATATATAATTAATTTAGATTTGCTGAAATTACAGAAATTTTATTAAAGTAGAATAAAATATATTTAAATATAAACAAAGGAAAGTAAATATATAACCACTAATAAGTTAATGTTGGACTGAAATTATTTGGAGAATTATTAATGTATATTTTTGTAGCGTATATACATTTTAATTTATTACGCATGAAAATAATAGGCAATTTATATAAACGAATTATTGAGTCGTTATTTACTCTTGTAATAATAAAAAAATAATGCGAAACTTTTACATAGAAATATAAATAATTGTATATAAATAGCTTGTAAAATATATTGAAAAAGACATGAATTCAAAAAATGGCTTAGTCAGACTATATAAAAACTCTATAATACATTTGATATTTTGAAAAAAATTAAATGTTTAATACTAAAGTAAATATTGAAGTCCTAATGAATGTAATTACAATTGGGATATAAATAACTTGTATAGGAATAGTATGCGCAATTTCATATCACCAAAATGAAGAAATAAACAATTTTAAGAACAGAAAAACAAACGTTAACTATTAATATTAAATTATATTCAAGATATTAAATGTAGAAAATAAAATAAGAAGCTAACATAACGTTAAAAATTTTAAGCTCTGTACGTAAAATTCAAATAAGACTTCCTTTACATGAAAAAAAAAAAAAGAAAACTGCATTTAATATAGTTTTAACATAGATGCTATTTATCTTTATCTTTATTACTATTTTAATAAACTATCTAAATGGTGCCAACCCGATCCCATTTAAATTGATTATGAAGGAAATGTGTTCGAAATTAAATAATAATGTTAATACATATTTTGCTTTGTGTTATGTTTAATAATCCATCGACGAAAAGTAAAAGAAATTAATAGATTAACATCAAAATAAATGGTAGATTTTTGTTATAAGGTAACAGATAAAAAAAAAAAATTAAATTGGTTTACTTTTGAAACTTTCAACGAAATTACTTATTTCATAATTAGAATTTATAATTAAAACGGGAATTATATGAATTTAAAATGAATATAAGTGATAATGATTTAAATGAAATAATCGAAAAATTATGATTATTTTATTTAATTTAAAAATATATATTTTAGATACATATTTATTTATTTAAAAAAATTATACACACTTATGCGCATATATGTACAAATGTGTACATGATGTGTGCATGCATGCATGCATGCATGTATATAATGTATATAAATAAAGTATTGTAATTGTTCAATATAATTGATTGACAAAGAGCATGAGCTGCTAAGAATTTATATGATTCAAATTTATTTTATTGGTTCAATAAAAATACAACTCGAAAGAATAATTCGTTGAAAATGATAATTTTATTAAAGTTTTGTATATTTCTTACATACTTTTACAGCAATACATTTTTATTTTGGTAAATTGCATAAGAGCGTATCTTTTATAATTAATCATAATAAAACAAAGTTATCAAAATATTTGAAGCGTATTTTTCTTTTATAGCTTTCAAATTTTATCTGCGCATTATCCATTTTTATTTTACAGGAGAGATAAGTTACATTTATCCCGCTTTGCATTAATGGAAGAAATTGGTTCACATTTCTACGGATGTGGGCGCTGATGTATTGTACTAACAATAGAGATTTTTTGGATTCAAGTCATTCCTTGCAAAAAGAAATTCAAATACATAAAAATAGAATAACTAAATAAACAATAGTATTTAAAATTTTGCATTCTCTACATGCATTTAAAATAATAATTTATTTAGAATAATAGCAATATGAATGCACCACCGACTTTTGAATCATTCTTGCTTTATGAAGGAGAGAAAAAGTAGGTTATGTATTATATGTTTATGATATTAATGAATTGTATAATATATATAAATTTTGAAAAGATAAAGAATAAACAACAAACAGTTTACTCTTGTAAGCTTATAATTATATTTTAGAATAAGTAAATTTATTACAGTTAAGTCGTGTAAGTAATATTTTCATTTTTATTTGAATCAATAGAATTATAAAGGAGCAAGATACTAAAGTTCCTAATGCCGCTATATTTACTGTCAACAAAGAAGATCACACTTTAGGAAATATGATAAGAAAGTAAATCCTTAAAATACTTATTTTAATAATTTATTTGATATAATATTAAGTGATATTCTGTATTTAAAAAAAGTTATATTTAATACAATTCCTTTATTCAAATAATTATGTTGATTATAGTCAACTTTTAAAGGATCCACAAGTATTATTCGCTGGATATAAACTACCTCATCCATTAGAACATAAATTTGTCATTAGAATTCAAACAACATCGGATTATACTCCTCATGAAGCTTTTATGCATGCAATTACAGATCTTATCGCTGAACTGTCGCTTTTCGAAGAAAGATTTAAGGTAATTAATTTAAAACTTTCTAAATCAGTATAATGTAATAAGTATTCATTTAATGTTATGAAATTTTTTAGGAAGCAATAAAGGAAAAGAAAGAAGGTTTAGATTAAATTAATTTATTTATAATAGATTTAACTTTCATCCTATTCAAAAAGAACTTGTATAAAGAAATAAAGTAAATGAACATATTATTTTATATAATAATGTATAATATTATTTAATAATTAATTAATTAATTAATAAAAGTTTTTTATAAATAGTGTTTAAAAATTAAATATATAATTAAAGAATCCTTCATTTTTGTATAAATTAGTATATATATTTATATAAAAAAAAGATATTATATGCCTAATACATAATAACAATAAAATAATGTGCAAACAATCTTACCTATGGTTGTATAAAAAGATAATTCTGTCGTTATTGACCACAATATAATACCTCTTGAATTTAATAAGGTTCTTGCTTTGAATGTTAGATGTCAATTCTGTTTATTTTTAATTTATTAAATTTATTATATTATTACTAAAGTTATAATCAATATCTAATATATTAAATGCACATGTTTATTATCAGCTGAATGTACTATTTTACTCTTTTACTCATAATGTAGAAAAATTCAACTATAAACTGAGTTATTAATAAAAATTGTAGTGAAATAATTCTGTAGTGACATGAAATGTTATTTCAAACAAGACGTTTAGGTATTTCTAAAAATTTAATTAAATACTTTTTCTTATATTAAAGTTTTATTAAAAACAGTTTCTTGCTAATGATATTAGTTTAAATATTACTTATATATTATTAATTATCCCAATAAATGTTTTTAAAACGAATTTACTAAAGTTCTAGTTATAGTTATATATATATATATATATTATATTTAGGTAAATAGAATATATATTAATTAAAGTTGTTATATCTATACGAAATTATTCAGTAAAATAATTTTTGTAAAATCATTATATCTAATTGTATTATTGAAGTGAGAAGCATTGATGTCCAATATAATACGTGTGCCTATTTTTTATTTTTAAGTGAAATAAAGACTAATAGAAAACTATAAAATCATGGCTTGCATGGTATTTATAGAAATCAAAGTATGCAAGACGAATATTTTTGAAAACTAAATAAAAAACTATTTTTAAATATTTTTTTTTATACGTAATAAAAATTTTCCGTTGAAAAATATATTTATATATGAGATAATTAAAAGTTGAAATTATAATTAATTAAATAAATTATAAATGAAATAAATTAAAATTAATAATTAAATACAACAGAAAAATAATGTATAATAATTGATTTATCATATAAATCATATAAATATATATCATATAAATATTAAATATATAATTGATCTTTTACATAAATCGACTTTTGTTATGTGTATAAAATACAGCTTAATTATGACAGATTATAAAAAATCATTAGAAATTAACAACTAATTAAAATTAATTCATGAATAAATGTATTTAAATAATCTTAATATTTTAATTCTCACATATTTAGGTTATTATTTATTTTCACTAATTTTTTTTTAACTTTATAAAATTCACACCAATTATGAATGAAATATTATATAAAAATAAGGTAATAAAATAATTCATTTTATTTAGTATTTACACTGGTTGTTAATAATTTTAATTCGATAAAATAGAAAGATAACTGAAATGTATTTGAATATTTTACATATAGAACTCCGATATATATAATAATTATACGGCTACTTTTTTCAAATACAAAAAGTTAAAAAATCCAGATAGGAACTCAGTTATTTTCAAAGTAATATTCAGTGATACTGTATAATCAAACATGTAAGACTTGTATATTAATATTCTATAATATAAAATCATAATAAATGACTAAATTAGTAATTAATGTCTTTGATAATGCTGTAGGTAGATTAAAATATATAACGGTGAATATGTATTTTGTATTATTCTATAAGAAATTATGCATTTTATCATCTGGAATAAAACGATTAACCTTACAAGTTTCGTGCCTGGGTGCGCGTGTGTTTACGTATATATATATATATATATATATATATATATATATATATATTGACATATATATTGACTGATTGATTGATTGTTTATATACTAAAGAACAGCCTTAAAAGGAGCTAAATTTACAGATAAATACAGTTTAAAATGAAATATTTTAAATTAAATTTTAATTAAAAGAATTAAAATAATTTATAAATTTCCAAAATTTATGAAATTACTACATGAACGTAACAAATATTTTAGCTACTAAAAAAATTAGTATTTTGTTTTTTTTTTAATTCTAATTTAAATTTTTTTTTAACGATAAAATTTCGTTTTGTATTTTATGAATTTAATAAAAGTAATTTGAAAAAAATTATTATAAAAGAAAAAAACTCTTTTTGTTAAATGAAAATCAATGTTCATCAATGTTCAAATTCAAATCAATGTTCAATGTTGTATGTCATAAATTGTATTTGAAAATATTTTTATATCAATGATATGATTAATGAATGTACTGAATATAAAATTATTTAGAATTGTTATTTTAAAGACGATAAATTTTTATTTAAAATATAAAAAAATAATGTTATAATGTAATGACATTGTTGTTATTGATTTATATTTTTTAATTTAGTGATAACATACAATTCTTTTTGAAGAATGGTTTTATATTTTTGTTATTACTCGTCTACTTATAAAACTAACATTTATAGATTTTTCAATTTTTAATTTTTCTGTAAGCTTTCTTACTAATATTGAATTGATTTAATTTGATTTCTATTTTTATTACATTGAATTACGAATGATAATTGTGTGCTATTTAAATAATTTAATTATATTACGCTTGATTAAGCTTTTCATGTAATGATGTTAATATTTACTTATTTTTTACAGACTTTTAATTTTTTTTATTTATAATCATTCTTGTAAGCATTTATGTTTTACATTTTTCTATTTATTAATCTTTTGTATTACATTTTACACTCTACAATTTTCCCTTTTCATTCGGTGTTATTTGATTGTCTTCGATAATATATATCTTCAAGGAAGACGAAACGCTTGATGAATAAAGTAAAAGAGATGAAAATGAGAAGGAGAAAGAGGATGAGGATATAGTGATATGAAGATTGAGAGAGAGAGAGAGAGAGAGAGAGAGAGAGAGTTAGAGAAAGATACCGTGCAATACCACTAGTCAGCATTCTGTATTATTCCTCTATCCTTTTTTAGCCCTCTTTTTGGCTCCTTTAGCATCTCTTGTTTTCTTCGGGCTCGGGTCACAGCTCCTCTCGTCTTTCATTTTCAACGTTTCGCTTCGCTCGCGCCTTCTGCAATCGTCAAGATATCGCCAGTTCGCATCACTGCCGTTTTTCCAGCTATCAAGATCACTCCAAGTCTACAACAAACTACGTGCACCACCGTCATTGACCTTTGTATACCAACAAATGCAGCAAACGTTCGACTGCTTGTCTGCCACTTGATTCGATTTTTACGATTGAGACCATTATTTATTGCTTGTACGTTCGTGTTTTCAGGGAGATATTTTGGAAAATGCATGAAATTGCTACGGTAAATCAGTCAAAAGTTCATGCGCGTCGACCGCCTTGTATTATAATCTGTCTAGCAGTTACATTTGTTTGTTGGGAGCTTCGTAAGAAACAGATTTTTAAGATATAACGAAGATTGCTTTTGAATTTGGAAGCTCGAAGTTTTAGATGTCACTTTAGAGAATGAGATTACTTTAGAGCCATATATTTCGGTGTCAGCGTTTAAAGATTCGTGTATATAAGGGATGTCTGAATACAACCACTTGAATAATATTCCATTTGCTTTAGTAATCTTCACAATTCTTCACATTTTATTTAAAATTTTACTCAAATTTTTTGTGTTAAAATGGAAACTAAAAATATTTATTGCCTTAGACAATTTAAGTGCACAATAATTTTAGTCTCACGTGATTATGAAATGGTTTCAATTACAAAAGAGTATAAAAGTAATGTTCGTCCATTTTAAGCTTAAATTATAATATGACACAATGATTTACTATAATTTCTGACACAAAATTGCATCCATACAAATATTATTTTAGTAACATTATATGTTCAATCGCAATCTCTCTTTCTATACTTACAATCCTATTTTCTATATTACAAAGACTGGCGGACATTGTAAAATATGGATTTTTTCCTTAGAAAGATAAATCTTGTAAGACATAGAATTCAAAAGCATATGAACTATAATTTTTATGTTAGCCAACTATCTATTACGTAAGGTAAATAAATTAGATTATTGTTTCTTGTAAAATAAAGATATCTTATACGAACACGTCTTTTATTTTTATCCATTAATATTACAATATTTCTTCTTCATTGTATCATAGCATTGCAATTATAATGTTTTTACTAGAAATAAAATACTAAAATTTGCGGTTATGAAATGTAATTCGTCATTTTAGTTGCCAAATATTTTGCCACTCAGTTTATTTATTCGATTGCTGCAAACCAATACTAATATTATGTTCGTACATACAACAGCCAATATTCTATATCATTTTGCATACAATCTTATTCTTTTGTGTAAAAAGATTCAATTCATTAATGATTGTAGTACCGGAAAATAAAATAAGAAGATAGAGATTTTGTGGGATAGTGGATGTTTAAGAAAGAATGAAAGAACAGAGAAAAATAAGACGGATAGAGAAAGAGATAGATAGATAGAGAGATAGAGAGAGAGAGAGAGAGAGAGAGATAGCGGCAAGGGAATTGAAATAGAGAAAAAGAGTAAAAGATATTAAAAACGGCAGAGGTGGAGGAGATATATAGATACTTTTCCAGATTGATCCATACCGCGATGCAATCATCTACCATTTTGTAAAATTTTGTTCTTATTGATTTATAATATACAATTTACTATAATTTCCATATTTCTAAATTAATTTCTGATTTTCATCAATTCTATTAATTCATTTATCCATAATTTATATACGATTTTTCATGTCACTTTTATATAGCATCGAGTGTTATTAAGTAAATTTTCGTCAAACTTATTATAATGTACATACTATTTTAAAATATAATACAAATTTCACCGTACATTACAAATTAATTAATAGAACCCAAGTGTTTTATATCTTATTCGCACTTATCATCTTCACTAATAATATTTATTTTGCTATGTAATGAATGTCATGAACCTTTATATAATGACGAGATTCGTACGAATTTCGCACGGATTTCGTATTTAAAATTACGCTTACGCGAATAATATGTATGAACATGTCGTAACTGTTCAATGTACTAGATGGATGGATCTATTGTTACGTGAAGAGATTCGAAAAGTCTATTTTGAGAGTTCAAAAATTGGATTTTCAGAGCAACCGATTTTCTCATGTTACTGAAAGTATATTTAAGAAAATAAATACGATGTATAGACCAAGTGAAGTTATATGAATATAATAAAATGAAAGGTTTCCGAAAGTACTATATGAAGAGTATTTATCAGTACTTATTATTACTTTTTTTTTAATATCAATAAAATTTGTATATACTATAAAATTTTTCAGATCCATGAAATTATTTTATAATATTTTACACATTAATTTTAGAATTTCAAATATTTTTTTATATTTCATTGTAATATATTTTTTATGTTTTTTTTTTATTATTTTGTATTATTTAAAATTCTTTTTTAGGTTATTTATAAGGTTTTTATTAGCTGCTATAAACACTTTTATTTAATGTAAAAATTAACTTATAATTTATTTTACAATAAATCAGTCAACGTCAATTTGTATCCTAACATTCTTTCATCTTACAATTTATAAAATATTATTTACAATTTTTTAAAAATATTATATCGTGTTTTATATTATTGTACAGGTTACATTTAATGTACGCGATATTTTATAACTTAAACTACATAATAAAATCGTTTATTAAATTGTAAATAATTTATATTCTTCTGATTTTATTATCATTACACGTACATCTATTTTAATTTTATATTCTATCTTAATAATATTCGTTTTTACTATTTTTATTAATTTTTAGGATTACCACGCTTATATTTGTAAGTATAATATGTACTCAATTTATGATATTTTTAACACATTTTTTTTACGAATAATTACTTTTCATTATATTAAATCTATAAAGATATTTTATAATATTTGCTACAATTTTTTTAACTAATATTTCTTAAATTTATACATAAAATTTATACATTAAAATTCTTATCATTTAGTTAATAATTAAGATTTTGAAACTGTTCTCGATACATTCATTAATCTATTTCAGTAGTTACTTTAAGTAGTTTTTTTTTCAGTAGTTTTTAAGGAAGCATGATCTGTATGCATCTACCTTTATATTTTTTCTCAAAACAAGTAGATAAGTATTGCAAAAAATTTTAAATAAATTAAATTTTAACTTCAGTATGCGTAAAAAAATAGATATAAATATTTACCTTATTTTATTTGATATTTAATATTAGATTAAATAAATGTGTAGTAGAAGGTACGGTAAAATGAATTAACTATACCAAAAACGGTTTTCTTTTTATACATAAATTAAAATTTGAAAGTATAACATAATATTGATTAATTAAAAAATTGTAAAACAATGAAATTGAGAAAATTTCCTGCTTTTATTCTATGTACACTGATAAGTAGAAAAAAAATTCAGTTCTTATTAATACATAAACTTAATTTTATTAATATATTTTATTACATAGTTAATGCATGCATAAATTATTATTTTTTAATATGGTCGATAATTCATGAAAATACGACTGAATTTATATAGGAAAATTAATAAATACAACATTACATGAAGGACGTTTATTTTTTAATAATTTCTTTGCACTATCCGCCCTTCGAAAGGGGCGGAATATAAGTTACTGTACAAGCTACTACTCAATCTCACGAATCACACTGCCTGGATATAACGCAGAGTAATAACTCCGAGCATAGATTACAAAGTGGAAAGCTGGGCAGGAGGAGATCGGACGAGGTAGCCGTCTCCATCGAGATACATCGCCCTAAAAGTGGACCACGTATAGTTTACGAGTACATCGCGTGCTCGAAACTAAGCTTCGTACGAACGAAATGCAAAAAAGGAGAAAAGGCAAAACGATGGGCAGTAGCAGTGTGCATCAAGGGCGCTGTTAATGCGGAATTGCAATATTTCGCCGGATATATGATAGCTTTGTGTAATACTGGCAAGACGAAAACGAAGAGAGAGAGAGAGAGAGAGAGAGAGAGAGAGAGGAATAGAAAACGAGCTTGAATGCAAAAGAATCCGAAAGCACTGAAAACGAAAAGGTAGAAAGGTTTATATTTAAACGTTACATTCCATGAGGTTGAAATATATATATATATATATATATATATATATGCATGTCAACCATGCATATATGCATGCACACATTTGTAGGCATGGGTCAAAAATCGTAGGTAGAGTCAACTTGTGTATATAGAGTGCGCAGCCGAGCGGCAGTTATATTTCATTACGCGGGCAGTTCCTGCGCAATAACAAATAACAGGAAACCGAAACAGAAGCAAAACACTGGCGTACGATAAAGCATAGCCGGATATACACAACACATTCATCCACTATGCTGTGTCTCACCTTACTTTACAGATAATATTTATAAACTTTCTCACTCGTTCACACTTACTCACTCCCTCCCTCTCTCTCTCTCTCTCTCTCTCTCTCTCTCTCTCTCTCTCTCTCTCTGTCTGTCTGTTAAATCAAGAAGGTTAAGAAAACACATTATAACTTTTTCTATTATCGAGTATGTTGCGAAGAGAAGAGAAATATCGCTAATATAATTTAAAATGAATATATTTATGTATTATGAATTCTATCAATTACCATTGAAGCTCGATAACTTAATTTCAAAGAACAATTAAAAAACCAATAACTGTCTTTTTATGATTCACATCAAGAGGATTATCGAAATCCTATTAGAGATAAATTAAATGTTCTCAAAGCAATATTTAAAAATGTAAAACGAGTTGATATGATAGAATATTTAATGACAATTGATGCAATAGTAATTATCGAAATAATTTAATTACATTCATTTTTAAAAAAGTCAAAACGTTTCAATTTTTAAAATCAAATAAGTTAATACTTTATTAAACATTTGAACAGTCCATAGGTCATCAAGATCTATATAGAAGTTTATTGAAATAACGATACTTTTTTAGTGATTTGAAATTAATAATATTATGACTCTAAAAAACTTTTTAACTATATTATTCTACTGGAATTTCTCTTCCACTAGTAAAATTTTAAATGATTAATTAAAAGTAAATTGTTTAGTAGAGTACGTTTTAATAATGCTTAGAAATCATAATGTATATTCTCTTATACAACTTAATTATAATTATTAATTTTAATATACTTAAGATGTACTTATTATATTAACTACTGAACTGAAGATATACTTTTAAGTATATTTTAATACACTTGAGACATTTAATATACTAAAATGTTTTAATCGTGATTTTATAATTATAAAATTATATAGTAAATTTTTTGTCAATTTCTATTACTTT